TATATAGTTAGTATTCAGTTATCACATTTTTTATTTACAAAAACAAAAAAGGAAAGAACTGATTCCACCTATGTTTATAATATCTTTTTCCAGTTTTCATTATGGTGGTGGTGATATTAATTGAAATGAACTCTAGTCTCCTTAAAATTTGTCACATCACTGGTCCATGATAATTTGGATGATGACATAAGAATAAAGAAATGAGCCTTAGCCAGTTTGGCTCAGTGTATAGAGCGTCAGCCCACAGACTGAAGGGTCCGGGCTCTATTCCAGTCACGGGCACACACCTCTTTTGCAGGCACGATCCCCGCCCTGGGCATGTTCTACAGGCAACCAATCAATGTCTCTCTCTCTCACATCGATGTTTCTCTCTCTCTCTCCCCGCTCCCTTCCACTCTTTCTAAAAATCAATGGAAAAATATCCTCAGGTGAGGATTAACATAACAAAACCAAAAAAAAATGACTGCAGTGAGGCAGGGGCTGTGATAGGAGTAGGGTTTCTAGAGCCTCAAATGTCTGGGTTCCAGCCCTGACTACCTCGGAGTGGAACCGGGACCCTGCCTTACTCTCCTCATCTGTGGGCATGATAACAGCACCTTCCTCACAAGGTTGTTGTGCAGATTAAGTGAGATGTATTTAACCTCCTGGCACTCAGAATGTTTTGACTTTTATCACCCTCTTCATCACTGTGTATCAGGATGGCAGCACTAGAGGCCCAGTGCACAAAATTGGTGCACGGGTAGGGCCTCTAGCAGTGGCTGGCTGCCGGCTGCCGGCTGCCAGCCGGGGTCTCCCTTCGCACCTGCCTTGCGCTCCTAGGTCAGAGCGTCCCCTGAGGGCGCTCCCTTTGCACCCACCTTGGCCTGGCAGCTGCCCACTCACCTGCTCCACCATCCTGCCATGGTCCCACTCTCATCGGGGGCCCGCAGTGCCCCCATTGCCACCCACTGCCAGGGCCGCATTGCTGATGCCCACCATGTTCCGTGCCGCCCCCTAGTGGTCAGCACATCTCTAACTCCCTGTTGGTCAAACTCCTGCCCATGAGGACAATTTGCATGTTAGCCTTTTATTACATCGGATATGGCAGATACGTGAAGTGGTAAAAGCAAATCAGGAAGAAGAGATTTAGGAGGGTCTGTTTCTTTCAGCATCCTCATCTATAGCACAGAGAAGGTTTGTTTAGAAAGTCACAAGTAGAAGTGATCTGCAGAAGAAATGGGCTCAGGAAACAAGTTATAGAGGCAAAGGAAGGGCCGATGGAACTTAGGAGAAAGAGAGGGTGAGGGAAATACACCTGTGGAGTGTGGGGAGGGCACAGGTGTGCTCCGTAGAGAGGTGCCTGGGATGGATCTATTTCTGTGAAACAAACCAAACTAAAATAGGGTGAATATCCAACTGTCATTGAACTGAGAAATGTCTGTAAGGGTACGCTTCCCACTGATCATGGCAGGATCTCTGGAGAGAGGTGGGATTATGGACGGCAGGGATAAGGAAGGGAAATCTAGAAATCTTTCTTTATTGTTTATTGTTCTTGTTTGAAACAAACATGTATTCATGAATTGCTTGTGTTAATTTCCGTCACAAGTTTATTTTTAAACTAGAGGCCCGGTGCACAAAAATTTGTGCACTCGGGGGGGTTCCTCAGCCCAGCCTGTGCCCTCTTGCAGTCTGGGACCCCTCGGGGTATGACCACCTGCTGGTTTAGGCCTGCTCCCCGGGGGGATTGGGCCTAAGCTGGCAGTCAGACATCCTTCTGGCAGCCCGGCAGCCCTTGGGGGATGTCCACTTGCCAGAGGAGAACAGGCCTAAGCTGCAGTTGAACATCCTTAGCGCTGCTGAGGAGGTGGGAGAGGCTAGCACCAACACCACTGTACTGGCAGCCATCAGCTTGGCTTGTGGCTGAAACAAGCTT